GGTCACATGACGCTGCTGAGACGTGCTAAAGGGGCCCACCCACGTGCACCACACGCACTCTTCCTCTCTCTCTCTCTCTCACACACACACACAGACCCACCATGCATGGCCCCCGCCCTCCGACCATGTGTGGGAGCGCGCTAGCTCACGGGACGCTGCTGAGACGTGCTAGGGGGCCCACCCATGTGCACCATGCGAGCTCTTCCTCTCTCACACATATATAGACCTAATGTGGAGCTCGCCCATCTGACCTTTTTCTTAGGCTTTTAGAAAGTTGAAAGTTGAAACTCCCAAAAGTTCAAATACAATTTTCTAGAGTTTGAAATGAAAAAGGCGTGTCCCTGTTTTTCTATAAGTGCACACATGCATTTTCGGAAGTTGGTAAAAGCAGGAATTGCCAGAAAGGAAGTATGACCATCATCGGAAGTTTCCAAAACAAAAGAAGCCATGTCCGAAATCAACCTATGATGCGTGTACATCTATTTAGAAAGAGTCCTGATCGGTGGCAGCCGACCTGGACATCGCCTTTACATCCAGGCAAAGAAGAGGGGTAGGTGATGGTGTCCTGGACTAGGGGGTACTCACCATGTTGCAATTAGAAAAAATTCCTACGATCATGCAAGATCTATCTAGAAGATGTATAGCAACGAGAGGGGGAGAGTGTGTCCACGTATCCTTGTAGACCGAAAGCGGAAGCATTAGGTTAACACGGTTGATGTAGTCGAACGTCTTCAATATCCAACCAATCTAGTGCTGAATGTACCGCACCTCTGAGTTCAGCACACGTTCAGCTCAATGACGTCCCTCGAACTCTTGATCCAGCTGATGGTCGAGGGAGAGTTTCGTTAGCACGACGACGTGATGATGGTGATGGTGTTGTGATCCGTGCAGGGCTTCACCTAAGCACTACGACGCTATGACCGGAGGTGTAAACTATGGAGGGGGCACCGCACACGGCGAAGAAAACAAATTGATGTGCCTTTGGGGTGCCCCCTCCCCCGTATATAAAGGAGGGGAGGAGGAGGCCGGCGGCCAGGAGGGGCGCGCCATGGGGGGGAGTCCTACTAGGACTCCACTCCTAGTAGGATTCGCCCCCCCTTTCCTTTCTTCCACTGGAGGGAAAAGGGGGGAGAGGGAGAGGGAGAGGGAAAGGGGGTGAGGGAGTCCTGAATTAGGGGGTATCCGGACAGCCGGACTGTGTACAACGTTCGGACTATTGAAGCGTGAAGATACAAGACTCAAGACTTCGGCCCGTGTCTGGATGGGACTTTCCTTGGCGTGGAAGGCAAGCTTGGCGATCCGGATATTATATTTCCTTCCTTGTAACCGACTCCATGTAAACCCTAGCCCTCTCCGGTGTCTATATAAACTGGAGAGGTTGGTCCTTAGAAGGCCGATCACAATTACATTCATACCATCATAGGCTAGCTCCTAGGGTTTAGCCCCTACGATCTCGTGGTAGATCTACTCTTGCACTACCCATATCATCAATATTAATCAACCAGGAAGTAGGGTTTTACCTCCATCGAGAGGGCCCGAACCTGGGTAAACATCTGTGTCCCTTACTTCTTGTTACCATCAACCTTGACGCACAGATCGGGACCCCCTACCCGAGATCCGCCGGTTTTGACACCGACATTGGTGCTTTCATTGGGAGTTCCTCTGTGTCGTCGCCGCCAGGCTCGACGGCTCCTTCAATCATCATCAACGACGCCGTCCAGGGCGAGGCTTTCCTCCCCGAACAGATCTTCGTGTTCGGCGGCTTCGCGCTGCGGGCCAATTCGTTTGGCCATCTGGAGCAGATCGACAGCTATACCCCTGGCCATCTAATTAGGTTCGGAAACTTGAACTACACGGGGGATATCCATGGAGACTTGATCTTCGACGGATTCGGGCCGGCACCAGGAGCGCCAAACAGTCACTATGATCATGGCTTAGACCTGCTGTCCGACGATGATCGGGATATCATCCCGGCAAAAGCCCCGGATTCAAATCCGGGGCAGGTTGTGTTGCCTAAGGATGGAGGGCTAGACCCCGCCCCGCAGGTCGTACCCTCATCGGCGATGGAGCCGAACACAGGCCTCGCTTCTGAGGAAGCCTATGACTCCGGACCCCCGGACTCGTGTCCGGTTGTAGGCTCCAGTCCGCGCGCCCCCGAGCCCGCCGATCCTGGTTGGGCTCCGGTGATGGAGTTCACCGCGGCGGACGTCTTTCCGCACCCGCCCTTTGGCGACATGCTGGACTTATTGAAGTCTCTCTCTTTGCCAGGAGACTCCGGGCCGAACCATGTCCTGTCCGAGTGGGAAGCAGACAATGATGGAATTCGTTACCCACCCCCCACCCACTTCATTGCCTCGATCGATGATCTAACCGACGTGCTTGACTTCGACTCTGATGACATCGACGGTATGGACGACGATGTAGGAGAATTACAGGAGCCACCGCGTACAGGGCAGTGGGCGGCCACCTCATCATACAATATATATATGGTGGACACCCCAACGGAAACCAGTGGTGGCGAGCCAACGGAAGATAACCCCTCAGGGAGAAAAGCAAAACATGTGCGTTATCGGCACCACTCCAAGCCCTGCCACACCAAAAACGGCCCCGGAAAGAGAGCAGTCCAGACGGTGCCAAAGAGGAATACAACCCTAGTCAGCCTACACTTAAGCAGGCCGGACCAATGACGATGGGATGCTGGGAGAGGGACAATCACACGCCCCCCACCGACGACGAGGCAAGCCTTGGCAATGACGAATTTGGCGTACCGGAAGACCCAGTGGAACAAGTTTTCTTCAAGCGACGGCTCATGGCTACCGCAAGGAGCCTGCAAAGGAAGCAAGAGCAGCTTACAG